AGAGTGACTGTTTCCCTGTAGGATCACCAACAGTGTTGTCAAACTTCTGGTCCCGGGGATCACATAAATTTAGCTACAATGCGTTGAGTGTGCCCTGTGCCAGGCTAAGTGCTGTCCATTTATTAATTGTCACTGAATCCTCCCAATAACCCAATGACGGAAGTGGCATTAACATCATTTTACAGATGAGGAAACAGGTTTAGAGAGATTAGCCTGCCTCCGTTCATAGAACGGAGCTGAACGCGACTCTAGCATTCATCCCAACATTCACCCAGTGGTTCTCGAGTTTGAATGGACTGTGTCAGAGTCACTCAAAGGGCTTGTTAGAAGTTGGCCGGGTCCCACCTTCGAGTTTTTCAGTACGAGAGGGCCTGAGAACATGCATTTCTAGCTCCCAATGATGCTGCTGTTGCTGGACCAGGGACCACACTTTGAAGACCATTGTTCCTATTACTCTAATAGGGGATCCTATCTGGAAATGACCTTGCTGATCTGCCTTTGACCTTGGTTGGGTCCTTATTGGAATTCCGTATGTTCCATAAACCTTTTGTTTGTGGGGGTGTGTGTGTGTGGAACGTGAATACATCTTTTATAATCCTTTGAATCCACCAAGTTAGGCTGGTGGTAAGTGATTTCTCTTCTTCAAGACTGTTTCCCCACTTTTTTAATGGAGATGATGCTCAGAGGAACTGATGGCGGTATTACAAGGAGTCACGTATGCAGAAATAAAAACACGTTGAAGATTGTAAAATGCTGTACCGAAGCTAGTTCTAATTATTCCTATTGATGGAGAAGCTGTGAAGCGCAGTGGAAGACACTGGAGTCTGACAGGCCTGGACTGGGATAGCAGTTGGGCCACCGCAGGACATTAGACAAGTCAGCCCACACCTCTGAGCCTCAAATTCCTTCTCTTTAAAACTGGGCATATCGTGGTCTCCTTGAGGGTTCAACAAGCCCCTATGTGTATTGCCCCAAGTGCTCCTTCGTCTCCAAAAGCTACAGGGGCAGTGGGGTCCTCCGTGACAGTTGGGCTGTTGGCTCCACAATGGTTACAACTTGGATGCTCATTTTGCCTCTCGGTTCCCAAGGATAACATTCAAGGCCAGCTCTGGTCCCAGAAACCCTCAGATTCCCTGTTCTTTCCACATCTTGGTGATGACCTCTCCGTGGCGCCAAGTGGCTTCCTTTCCACAACTGGAAATCGGAGATGTGAAGACCCATCTTCAGATTCCCAGAAAGAGCCCAGGATGAACCCGATGACCATATGGGGACCCTTCGCTGCTGCCAGTCGTTCTAGGTGATGGAGCTACGGCCGTGGACAAAACAGAAATCCCTGCCCTCGTAAGCTTGTTGATCCTATGTCCCTAAGAACGTCAACATTGAAGCTGGAAGCCTCCTTGGAAGCTGGTGAGGGGTAAATACGCAAATTCACAGAGTATTAGAAGTTGATTAGAAGTTGATTAGTATTAGAAGTTGATCTGAAATTGACCCAGTGAAGCTCGGGTCCCTGGGAGCATCAGAGATGTGGCATAGCCAGAACTTCTCCAGCTGTGATGCATACGGGGATCTCAGGGCTCCTGTTATCTGGCAGATGTTGGCTCAGCAGGTCTGGGCTGGGGCCCAAGAACTTGCATTTCTAACAAACTTGGATGTTGCTGGGCTATGGACCATACTTTGAATATCTAGAGTTTGATACTTTATAACATCACTAACAAATGTAACCTGATTTTTCTTTGGCTTTTAGTGAAATTCTGAATACACAAGAATACACCAATTTGAAAAACTAATTTTATTGGAGTGTTCCAGTTGTTTACACTTTTGGACAGGGCTGTAGATTCAGGTGTCAGATCTTGGCTGCCACTATAGTTTTCAAGCGACCAGGAGCAGCCTTGAACTTGTACTGCTTGAAGCCCCAGCTTTCTCATCTGTGAGCAGAGACTTTCCTACCTCTGTCTCATTTAGGCAAAACCTTAATTGTTGGACGTTTTAAAAGGATGGATTCAAGTGTCTCCCCGTGGCCACTTTAATCTGCTACTTTTAGTGAAGTTGTGGGTTATCTCTGGGGAAGCCGCCAGGATTCTGAAATCTTACCAGTATATTGATATACTGGCATTTTGAATGCACGTCCAGCATCTGTAGACAATTGGCAATCATCCACTGAATGTCTACTCTGTGCCAGGCACTACGTAAACCGCTGTGCTGGGATTATCTTGTTTACAACAACTCTATGAGGTAGATTCAATTATTCTCTCCAGACAATCCAAACTAATAAAACTGAAGGTCACAGAGAATGTCACCAGCCCAGATATGTTTATTTTAAAAGTGGGTACAACCAAGACTGTACCAGCTCTGACTCCTAGACCCAAGCTCTTGAATATATTTCAATAATTTAAGTGATGAACAGAGGTCCTGTAGCAACACAGAGCAGAGACGTGACCAAGGTGGGTAAAACGCTCAGTTCTTTTTTACGTCTGTTAATAAGGCACTCCCCAATCCTGGGTTAAATTTAGATTTTCTCTGTGAACTATGGTAAACGCTAGTTTCACATTAGAATCTGACAAACAATATAAAAGCAAATTGACCTCACCACACGTGTAAGGGTGTCAGTCATCAGGGTCTAAGGCAGAATCTCATTCCCCCTGTGTCATAATGAACGTACCTGGAATTACGCTGTGTGGGACTGCTGGTGGGGGGTGGGGGGGGTGGGAGACTCTATGGCGTTCAAGAAGGTGGAAAACTGGTAGCCAAAACTAGAAATATATTTCCTGCTAAAGGCATAATACAAAAATCTCTCTTCATCAGGAGTTACTGATGGTACCCAGATATTAAGTTAGAATGAAAGGTACCATTGACTATAACATAAAAACTGCATCATCCTTTACATACAAATAAAAGAGGGAATTTTTTTTTTCATTCTGAGTTTATTTAACATTTCATCCAGTTGAACTGAAATAATACATCGACTCCAACACTGGCCAGACACTGTGCTAATACTGAGAAAAAGCTGCCAGTCAGTTAATACTTACAGTCATAATTCTTTATATCATGTTACTAGAAATATTAATAACTATTTACCTTTACAAGCATATTGCACTTCATGTGAGCTTTTCTCCGGAAGAGGTATATTCCTAAGAGATCAGCAAAGATCGCCAATCTTGGTTCATTTCGTTCCTTTTTATAAACCATGATTCAGCTATACAATTCATAGTTCTCTATAAAAGCATCAAGAGTCAGAAGCTTCAACAGATAATGTTGAAAAAGACACGTCTCCAGGCTCATTATCCCTTTTATAATGATCCTTTGGCCATCTCCTCCTGGTGTGTGTATTAAAATTTTGGTTAGTTTGTCAATCTTCCAACCAGGCATTCATTAATTTTTCAACGAAGGTTAAGATTTTGACATGGAGCTGCCACTTGACTGGGGGTAAGAAAATTCTGAGATTAGCTGGGGCGAGTGGGGTAGGCCTCAAGTGCTTTAGTTTCTTGTTAAAGTGCCCTTTAAGCACCTCTTGGAGCTCTGCCTTGAATTTCCTGCTTTTACCCATTTTTAAAGAGAAGCGTCTATGGCTACAAAAGACATCCAAGGCCAGAATGTCACGGGGAAGCTCTTTTGCTTCAAATGGCTTAAGACAGAAAATCTAAATGAGAATATTCTGGCAGTATAAAGGAAGGCTCAGAGTGGCCCGAAACCTTCAGGTCCATTCATCATTTTAGAGAAAAGAGAAACAGAGACACGAGGCACACCATTTTTTTCTTTATGAGGAAATTCAGTCTGGTCACAGTGTCAGGAAAAATTTGCCCAAACTAGTTTCTACATTTTTTTTTCCACTTATAAGTCTCTGAATTACAAATTGAATCGAGCGGTCAACACTCAGTGAAATGACCACCTCACATATGCCTTTGAACCTCTACAGAATTGAAACATAATCTATTAACATTAAATATATTATATGTGAAGATACTACAGATGATGTAAACAGTGGTCCATGGGTTCATTATTTTCAAACAGGGTGGAATGTAATATACAACATTCAAGTAAAACTCATTGAGTCATTGATTCACATACACATTATTTCCGTAGCTTTCTGAAAGCCAAAGAGATCTACGAGGATGACAAGAAAAGACATGTAGGCAGATGGAACTGTTCTCTCGCTTCTAAAAAAAAAAAAAAAAAAATCAAACACACCAGATTCAACCCAGTCATACAGCGTTGGTTTCGAATATACTTCCAAAATTTGACATTTGTGCATTTCCGTTATTTGATTAGTTGATTTAAATGACTGAATATAAAGTCAACAAGTGCAAGGTAAGATTGACATCTTCATAAGAATGTAAAATAGAATAAATTTCAAACTCAACCGAAGAAATCCACCAGCAATACAAAAGCATACAGCTGTTGACAGCAGGGACCTTTCACAATTGTCTATCACTCTGACTTCCGGGAGGTGTATGAAGGAGCTTTTACCCTACAAATGCAAAGAACTCATCATCTACTTCGGGTCGCCTCCAGCCCGAACTGGGTAGGAAAGTAAACTGTCCTTAATATTTATGAGTCATTTTCTTTTACAGTTTAGCTTCAGAGCTTTTGTGTTTTCTCAACTCACTACTGAGCTCTCCTTGATTTGAAACAAGAGTAGGATAAAAATTCAGTATTTTAAACAGATTTCCTTTTCATTGACTGGCAGCCAATATACTGAACACCTACTCTATGCCTAGCGGTGCTTTTGAAAACTCTGGGTGAGGGTTGGGATGTTGTCTTTGAAAAAACAGTGACTATAAAAGCTACAGGAAGGGTGTTTCTGTAAATTATACCATGATTCAAATGTAAGGGGAGGCCACCCCAGGTGCTGTGCTATAAGTAGCAGCTTGACTCTAAAAGGCTAACGTGGATCGTTAAAAGGTTTCTGTCACCGGTCGACCAGGACCAGGATACTCCTTACGAACTTGGCTACACCACACCTGTGGTTGGTAGGATCCTCTGAAGATGTTTCTTTCCCTACTTTATAATCCCTTGTTAAAGTACACACGCCGTAATTCAGGACGGGTCTCTCGGATCCTGGCTTGCAGCTCGGCCTCCAAGCTTGTCACAGACATGGAACTGGGAGAAGGGAGAAACAACAGACAGGGTCATTCCACGGGCGGAGGTGGGAATTAGAACCTGGAGAGAGGAGAGAGAGTAGCCCCACCCACCCCCCTGACTGGGACAACAGAGTCCTGTTTGAAAAATGCTTCACGTGCCCAGAAAACGAATACCCTGTTCCTCTCAGAAAACTGTCAGTAAATATCAAAGAAAGGCACCATCAAAACCCAACACTGAGACACGCTTTTTACTTCTCATCTTATTAAAAGCCTTACAAACCACTTTTGCCAGCAAGGAGGTATGGTGATGACACTCTTAGACCCTGATGGTATTGGAAAACAACCTGTGGTCACTCCACTTCCCAAGGAAAACCACATAAATGTTCACCGTTAATGAAAAAAAGATATATGCACTCAGTGGAATTTTTTAGCACTAAAAATTCACCTGCGTTAATCTGCTTTTGTCCATCGTATAGTAAAACATACTTATTCTAAAACTTTCAGAAAATACTAAAATGTATGAGAAAAAACATCTCTTGTTGTCACACTACTGAGATGACCACTGTTAGTGCTTGCTTTATGCATTTAAAAATGTACCTGAATGTTTTATATGTGCATATGTATTAAGGATGAAGAAAAACTGTCGAGACGGGTTTTTGTTATTGAAAGCAACTCATTTGCCCCTTGGCTGTTTGCCCATTTCTGTTCCCCTCTAATCTTAAAAGAACCTAATTACAGGGATGAGATCACTAGGCGATTAACCTAACTCCTGACTTGTGCTGTCCTGAAGGCACACCATGCCTTGTCTAACCTGTTGATTCTTTTCCTAGATAAAAAGAAGAATGAAGTAAGCAGTTAAAGAAAATGACTAGCTCTCTACCCCCAACGAATCCCCCTAAGCAATCCCGCAGGCAGATCACGTGGGCAAGATAACATCTGAAGAGAGTCGGCCAGTCTGCACGCAACGCAATGGAGAATGATGCAGAATCCAACCTCCTGCCTCGATGATTCGCTGAGATTCCTCCCCCTCCATTTCTTTCCCTTTAAAAACTGTCATGGCTGAGCAGAATCATCAGAGCTGGTCTCTGGACACAAGTCCACCATCTCCCCAGATTGCCAGCTTTTATGATTAAAGCACCTTTCCTTTCTACTGACACTTGCCTCTTGAATTATTGGCTTCTGAGCGGCAAGCAGCCGAACCTGGGCTTGGTAACACTATATAATTAGTCTTTTAAAAAGATTTGTTCTTTAATATAGTTGAGATGTGGTAAACTATGAGGTAAAAAAGGCAGGAGGCCTCTTGCGTTCCAAGATGGCCCACACTCTGTCTATGGAGTGTGTATCTCCCTGAATAAACCTTCTTTCACTTTACTGTGTCTTGCTCTTGAATTCTTGCCTGCACAAAGCCAAGAACCCACACTGGGCGGCCATCCCAGGGACTCGGACATGACTTGGGATGTGACCATCCTCTCGCACCCCACTCTCTTTCCTGCAACACCTTTTCTGGCACCCAATGCGGGGCCTCAAAGGCCATAATCTCGATCCGCCTATTGGGCTGTGGCTCCCCTCTGAAGGGTGGCTGGGACTTATCCTGAGCCATGTAGATTCAAGTAGCCCGCTAAGTGGCAGCTGACGTCGCCTGCAGGATCTGGCAGAGACCAGTTCTCTGGCCTTGAAGAAGCGGACTGAGGCCAAGGCTTTTCCCCCTGTCTTTCTCATTCTCCTATTGCTCTCTCTCTTTGGACTTGAAAAGATCCACCCAGACGACCACCAAACATCCAAATTATGACTGCGCGGCAAGTAACTGACAACTCGGTTGGGTCTAAAGAACTCCGGCCAGGGGGCTTATCTGGTGGCGCAGTGGTTGAGAATCTGCCTGCCAATGCAGGGGACACGGGTTCGAGCCCTGGTCTGGGAGGATCCCACATGCCGCGGAGCAACTAGGCCCGTGAGCCACAACTACTGAGCCTGCACGTCTGGAGCCTGTGCTCCGCAACGGGAGAGGCCGCGATAGTGAGAGGCCCGCGCACCGCGATGAAGAGTGGCCCCCGCTTGCCGCAACTAGAGAAAGCCCTCGCAGAGAAACGAAGACCCAGCACAGCCAAAAATAAAAAAATAAAATAAATTAAAAAAAAAAAGGTAGGATATCGATTTATAAACACATGCAAAAAAGAGAAAAATTATGAATATAGAAAAAAACTAGAAAAAAACCACAATGGCTATTTTTTTTCCATATAGTGGGAACTTGGGTAATTTTAAAATGATGTTGCTGATGACAATGATAATGGGTATGACTTAGTACTCAGTTTCGGGGTCAGACGTTATGCGTTTTAACCCTTATAAAAACCTGACAAGTCAGGTATTATCCTAATTTTACAGGTAAGGAAACTGGAGGTGTAACTGAGATTTGAAGTCAGATCTTTCTCGACCCAAATGCCATGTTCCTAAGTCACCGAGCGCAAGGTCAAGGGCTGAACACATATTCCAATGCGATATACTAATGAAATAAACATTTCTTACCTTAAGCCCTGAGATTCTGGGGTTTGTACAATTAAATAGGTATGAGTGCTCCTCTTTAGGAAATTCATCTGTATTGGGCTTCAACAGAGGTTCTGAAGGTCCCGCCCTCTTCAAGGGGGGCTTAGCTATAGGCATCAAGGTGATAAAAGTTCCCTCTCCTTGAAATTTAAATCCCCAACTAAGAACAGTGGGGGTCAAAGGCAGAAGTGAAAGACCAGATAAAAGATGGATTTTTCTATCAGGTAGAGGGACCTGATGAAGTTAGTTCTAGAACAGAATACCTCATCCCAAACCCACTGTAAAAGCCTAGGGCATTAAAGGCCATATGTTTGGGGCCTGCTGGCCCACGAAGGATATTACAAGGGCAGGAGTCTGGTAACACAAACCACAGCAAAACAACAAAATGCTGCTCCTCTGTGCCTTGATGTTAGAATAGAAAAAAGCTGAAGCCTTAGATTTATGTGATGCTGATTTAATGCCTGTCAATACAGTTCTTACATCAAAGGCAGGATTCAAGGGCAGCTTGTGATGAAAGACGTGCACAATCAAGCTTTTAAGGCAAAAAAAGAAAAAAAGAAAAAAAAGAAAAAAAAAACCCTAAGTAGGAAGAAGGGAAGCAAATATACCAACCACCAAAGCTAAGTGCATATAACTGCTGTCCCTGGGGGTGGAACTTAAATTCGAATATATCTGCATTATAGATGCATTTGCCAATGGATTGGACATAGAGCCATATTTAAATTTTTGTAAGAGCAAATTGGCACGAGTTAACCTGAGTCTTACACAAGAATAAAGAATTTTCAAATGTAACAGTAGCAGGTAGAAAAGAGCTGGGCAAAGAGAATTTTGATATTAAACAGACATGCATTTCATTTCTGCCTCTTATCTCTTCCTTTTAGAGGCTTGGCTTCATTATCTTTTTGAGACTCAACTTTCCTACTAGTGAAATGGACCTGTCTTCAACTGGTTTTTAGGATTAAAACGCATGATCGCTCTGAAGAATAACAAATACATACCTTTTCTGAGGAAACAGAGCACAGCACAGAGGTGTAGCAAATACCAAACTTAAAAAAAAAAAAGGAAAAAATCAGAGCATTTTTGAAATGGTCGACTTTTCAGATTCTTTTTCTATTATTTTACTTTGATAACAATCCCCTTTCTTCCTTTCGAGTATTATGCTGCCTCACAAAAATATGTCCTGTTCGTATAATTTTACTACCAAGGACTGCCAAAATAATATATATTTTTTTAAATCAAAGAGATAAAAGGAGTTTAAAAAAGAATCACACAAATAGCCCCAAATGTTGTAGGTTTCTCTAAAGACAGCTTATGTCTAGCTAATGACTGGGACCATGAGCTCCAGATGTTCTGGGATGGTCTCATTTTCAAAACGTGTGTCCCATATTATCCCTCACATTTCATATGCTGTATATTTATCTTAAAAAAAGAAATTAATGACATCAAAGTAATTCTACTCACCAGAAGCCAACTAATCCAACTTGAATAGGCGCACTCATCCATGGGAACCTCTGTGTTGAGGAATAAATTATTTTGAGTACTTTTTATACAGGCTCTTAGAAACAATTTCTTCTGCTGGTTAACTGGGACAGGAACCTCGCCACATTACAAGATCCAGCTGGAATGCGATTAGTGAAATGCAGGGGTAACACTGTAACAGCGTTACAGTTAGTCCTGACTTCCCTCTTCGATCTCTCCATGAATGTACATGCAAAGATTAAGCGGCTTCTCATTTTTCTCCCTTGCACATATAATCTGAGAGATGCCTGGCTATATGGGAGCTGGAGAAATGGTTATCACTTAGCTATAATTTCTCTCCTGGCTGGGGGTCTGTATAGCGTGGCTCCAAGGCTGGAAGATAAACAAAGCTGCAATCAAATCTCTGCCCTACCAGTTCATCCCCACTGTGGGAAAAGGGCACAGTCTCCAACCTTTGGTTCCTTCTCTGTCAAATGAGGATCACGACAGCTTCCTAAAAGCGTGTGAGTGAAGACATGCCAGATAACATTCATAAAGCACCTAGTACCGTGCCCGGAACGTAGCAGAAACCCAACAAGTATCCCCCCTCCTCCTCTGCACCTTTCCTTTCTTGGTTTTGGTTGCTGTCGGTACGGCTAAAACAATTGCTGGCATAACAAGTTTTTGCCTGTCACTTTTTTGTTAATGGAAATGAATGAGTTGGTTGGTCTTTTAGAGAATAAGTGCTATTAGATTTTTGGTTTTCAAAAGGGAGTTTTAAAAAAGCATAATATGCAATAATAAAGAGCAACAAAATATATAGATTATATAAATAAGGCCACTGAAAGAGCTGCAGCCGAGTTGTGAACCGGCTGTAATGAAATCAGCCAGCTTAGTTAAGTGTCAACACAAGCTGTTAAAAGATCATGACCCCGGGCTTCCCTGGTGGCGCAGTGGTTGAGAGTCCGCCTGCCGATGCAGGGGACACGGGTTCGTGCCCCGGTCCGGGAGGATCCCACATGCCGCGGAGCAGCTGGGCCCGTGAGCCTGCGCGTCCGGAGCCTGTGCTCCGCAACGGGAGAGGCCACAGCAGCGAGAGGCCCACGTAACGCAAAAAAAAAAAAAAAAAAAAAAGATCATGACCCCGAGGAGGCTTGAGTGACAGGCATATCCTGGTCCCCGAGCAGACTCCTCTGGCGAAGAGGTACATCACATGGGTGGACGTGAAGGGAGAGAGACGTGGACTGGAGAGGAAGGGAGAGACGTCATCAAGCAGAGACAGACCATGGAGCTCGCAACAGAGGGGCCCCACCTCTCAAAGGAAAGCAGGAAAAGGAAATATTGTATCTGGGGCAACTGGCTCTGTCTGATGAAGAAGGAATTTCATAAGGAGATGGTAAATTCTCTTCCTAGCACTTCCCAGATGTGTGTCATCTGTGCGGGTACACAGACTTGGTGATGGGAAGGCAAGCTAAGCCCTGAATGAGATCTTGAGGGAAGACGAACCCATGAGAGCCCATCCTCACGTCAAGTGGACTCTTGAACAGCTGCGTGTAATCTCAACAATGGATGTGTACAAACCGAAGGCTGATGGTGGCTCGTGCAGAGGGTTTTGTTGGAAAGGCTCTTGCTAACGACAAGGATCCTGGAGAATTCTGATCTCTCCCGCGAAACCCAACCTGGATGTCATCCCTCCTCCCGACTCCTTCCCGGCATCCCATCCTGCCTCCTTAATCCCTACTTCTTAAACAGAACTTAGTCTGAGATTAAATAAGTGAGCTGAGGATGTTTGGTTTTCCCCTAGATAATCACAGAACTCCGTGAGGGAGGGACGTACCTTATTTAGCACAGAATTGTGCAAACAGAGGATACTTTAAATGAAAAGTTTAAGTGAAGTAAAGACAGTAATCACAAGTTTAAAAGATATATATTCAATGAAGTAAAAGCTCAAAAAGTTAATATGAGTAAATTCTTTCTCCTCCCAATGATTTTTCCTCCAATAGCTTTATGAAATACAATAAATTGCACATACTTACTGTGTATGATAAAAGTTCTGATATAAGTATTCAGCTGTGAAGCCATCACCACAATCAAAATAATTAACGTAGCCATCATCCTTAACGTTTTCCTTGCTCCTTGTGCCCTTGGCAATTCCACCATCTTCCCTAAACCCTGCACCCATTCCCTGGCAACCTCTGATCTACTTTCTGTCACTATATACTAGGTTATAATTTCTAGGATTTTATATACAGTATCTACTTTTTTGTGTAATTGTTTTGAGATTCATTCATGCTGTTGTATGTATCCATAGTTCAGGACTTCTTATTGCTGGGTTAGGTATTCCACTGCATGGAATGTATTGCTTTGATAATCCATTCATTCTCCTGTTGATGAACATTTGGATTGTTTCCAGTTTTGGGCTATTACAAATAAAGCTGCTTTGAACATTTGTCTTTTATGGACATATGTTTTCATTTCTTCTAGGCAAATACCTAGGAGTGAAATGGCTGGGTCACATGGTAAGCATATGTTTTTTTTAAGAAACTGCCAAACTAGTCTCCAAAGTGGTTGTATCATTTTACATTCCCACTAGCAGGGAATGAGAGTTTCAGGTCCTCCACATCCTTGTCAACACTTGTTATGGTCAGTCTTTTTGATTTTAGCCATTCCAATAGGCGTTTAATGGTAGTAGCTAATGTGGTTTTAAACTTGAATTTCCCCAATGACTAAAGATACTGAGGATCTTTACATGTGATATTATTTTATATCTATATATACTTGGTGAAATGTCTGTTCAAACCTTTGCCCTTTTAAAAAAAAAAAACAAAAACTGGTGGGATAGGGAGGGTGGGAGGGAGGGAGATGCAAGAGGGAAGAGATATGGGAACATATGTATATGTATAACTGATTCACTTTGTTATAAAGCAGAAACTAACACACCATTGTAAAGCAATTATAATCCAATAAAAAAAATGCAACCCCCCCCCCAAAAAAAAAAACTGGGTTGTTTTCTTTAAAAAGTATTGAGGACTCTCTATATATTCTGGATACAAGTCCTTTATCAGACACATACTTTGCATAAATTTTCTCCCAGTCTGCTTCTTGTCTTTTCAATCTCTTTACAGTTTTCAAAAAACAGAACTTTAACATTTTGTTGAAGCCCAATTTGTCAATTTTTTCTTTTATGGACTGTGCTTTTGGTGTTATGTCTAAGAAATCTTTGCCCAAGTCTAGATCTCAAAGATGTTCTGCTATATTTCCTTCTAGAAGTTTGACAATTGTAGATTTTTACATTTAGATTCCATGAACTATTGGGAGTATTTTTATAT